ACTAACCTTAAAGCAAAGATCCTCCATAGGGGCGGCCATTTCCGGTGCCTCTAAAGCGAGGCAAAACAGCGGGTGGCCATTTTGTTTACCCGGTGGCCATTTTGAAACCGCCGATCAGTTGGCCGAAAATGGGGGCTTTGCGATGATCGCTTCCCTGCGATCATCGCAAAGCAAAATTTCCCCATAGGGACCAGCGCAAAGCGATCATTCTTGCGATGGCGAAAAGTCCATCGCAAAGCGATTTCATCGCTATACAGAGCAATCGCTATGTGAGGCACCACTGTATTTTCTAATTCATTCTCAGATTGAAGACTGAGAAACATGACCTACACAGGTTTTAATGCAATGATTATAATGTTGTAATTTTCTGTTTTAAATTGTTCAATTTTAAATATCTTTTTAAAAAACTGTATTATGGTTTCATAGCTGGCTCTGACATCCTGCATTATAGGGAGGGCTATAAACGTTTTTTTAAAAATGAATAAACAAAATAACATATTCTTCCCCACAATTTTGTATTTATGTCTTTGCTATTTTTAATGCTTCTTGTGGCCACTTTGGACACAGCCTATCAGCATAGATAAACTAAATGGTAGTCATTAATATTTCATATCTTAATATTTTAGCAATTAAACCAGCTACATTATTATTTTGGTTGTTGCTTTACTAATTGTATTGGGACTTTTATCATTGTAAACTTCTCCAAATGCATTTGTCAAGTAGGCAGTGTATGATAAATATAATTTTTTTTAAGGAAAAAAATGAAGATCTTCCTTTAATCTCATGGGAAAGCCTTAACTTCAGAATGTTTGGAAATACATAGCCATCTGAAGGTGTGGCAGATGGTGTCTAGAGAAAGAGCATTAATAACTCAGCCATAGTAACTAATATGGAATGTACTCCTCAGTAGAATTTGCCTACTGACTGTTTGCAATGCCAGCAAATACTCTTTTTGGTTTTTTGCCCAGAAATTCCGACATAATGAATAGTGACACTGCTTGTATTTGTATTTTATGTTGGTGCTATTGTGCGAATGTGATCAAGTTATATTTTTTTAAGCTTAATATCACCATGAGACTTCATATTTGAGATAGTTCACAGATTTTTCTAAATAAACAAGGAACCACTTACATTTTAAAATGAATGTCTCTATAATTTCACGTAATATTCATGGTGAATATTTGTAATATTTAATCTTTTTTTTAAAAATATTTCTATGTGGGAGAACACTGCTCAAGGTCACTATTATTTGTCTTCAGTGAGAGCAAATACTCCTGGCAGGGGCAGCAGCTGCCAGGGGTTGGGGTGACTTGCTCATTCTGACTTTTTCCCTTAGAGTTAATTATACTTTCAAAGCCTTTCTCCGGCCAATCCTAAGTGGCGATTAGGTAACTAGTGTCCTATCTGAATTCTTTCAACAATGTGTGTAAGCTTGCTAAGGTTAATAAAAGAGCTCTTGGGGCATCGCCTTGGGGCTCTGCTGGTGGACATCTGTGTGTGTCGACTTCTTGGTTCTTTCCCTCTAAGGCTAATTGCCTTCTATTGCTCTGTGATCACCTACATTTTTCTTCTGTTTTTTTTCCTAGTTCTCTATGTGTTGTTGCAATCAGAGGCTTATTACAGTATATATAATTTATTTCATCTCATATTTTAACTAACATAATACTGATCTAATCTACTCTACTTAAATCGAAGTAGATTTGATCCAGCTGTAAAGCACTTCTCATTTGTTTTTCTCCAGTCCTGTTATTCTGTCATTTAGTGTGTCTGTCAAGATGTCTGTTTCTGCCAATTCTAGAATCTTCTCAAGAAATTCCTCCTTTGTCCATAACTTTGTGGTCTTCTCTCTCTCTCTCTCTCTCTCTCTCTCTCTCTCTTTTTAGCATCTGCTGCAGCAAAAAGTCTCCCTAATTTTGGTATGTCCAAATGTTTCAAATCTTCTCTTTTTTTGTATGGGTTTCTTGTATACACGTAACTTCCAGATTCAATTTATTAAGCTCATGAAATTTTTTTTCTTCGTTTTCCTGGTACGTTCAATCCACTGACACTAATTGAAATCAGTCTCAACTGGTTTTTAGATATTTCCTGCTTGTTTACTACCTCTCTGTTCCTCCTTCTTCTTAGATCTAGTCTGAACTCCTGCTGTTTCTTTAGCTCTTGAATATTTACTTTATTTTGAAGAGCAGAGCTGAAATATACTCTCCTAATTCTTCTCTAATTGATAATATACATTGTTTTTACAAAAATACTCTTAACAGTGTTGGTTGCTTCAAACTGATCAGCAAATAATCTGGGTTAAATGGAGACCAAAGGAAGCGTTGTGATTTTGTAGGTCTCGCTATGTTCACATATATTTATACACACATTTTGGCTCAAAAATGCAAGATATAATTGGTACATCAGGGTAATGCTGCATCAATCCTAATTAAGAGTATAGAGTCACTGATTTAAAGGGCGAGGATATTCTGAAGAATGACAATTTCAAGTTTTGTACATTTCTCTTAAACTGCCAAAAAGCTTGTGTCTTTCTTTCTAAGGTATAGGCAGCGATTGTTTTAGTGGTGCAAAACTGCTCAGTATTTTAGCTATTTGTCAGCTAATCAGTGTCTGCTTTAAAATCCTCAAGCGGAAGGGAGTTTTTCTAGAGACAGCAGTCAATTGTCACAAAGCCTGCCTTAGTATCCATAGCCACTGACTGACATAATACTAGGTATGTCAGTAGGACTTGTTTGTGCAACCACATACAGAATGGCAGTATCAGACTACATTCCTCTCTCTTTCTTTTTTTCACTGCAGACAACATTGACTATGAATGTGCATTCCCTCTGTTTGGCAGAATTGACCTAGACGTGAGGACCTTCAAAGAAAAAAACAAACTAACTTTCTATACTTCACATGTAGCACCTAAGGACAGTACTAGAAATAAAGACATTTATTTAGTTATCTTGCCACTGACAGAAGACTAAACAATATTTCCATATCACAGAACAGATATGCAAATAAGTATTTCTTAGCAGATTTAGGGGTCAATAGGTGGATCTTAGAAAGGGCAGCTGGTTCCTTTCTGACACTGACCAGAATGTCATGGCTGTCTGAGACTACTCAGAGCTGAGCTACCATGGAGTTGACCTGTTTTCAGAAATGGTTTAAATGAATTATTTTTTCCAAAAGATATCTATTTAGAGGTCAACCCAGTCAAAATGCCATGTAGGCAGAGAGGGGGAAAGATTTTAAAACATGATCATTTATTAAAAATTAAATAAATAAAATAAAATAATAATATTATTTTTATATCTCCTTTTGTCTTGCCATTACTCATAAAAAATATTTATATGCTACTCAAAATAGCCTAGAACAGTTAAAATAAAGTATAATAAATTAAATACATTTTTAATTATCTTCCTTTCACTGTTCATGCCAAGTAATGCTCATTTCTGTAAAAGTAGTATGTTTTCTTTTTAACTGCATATTTCACTCCAGCTTAAGTGAAATAGAATACTGTAAATTATGGGGCTAACTGCAACAAAAAAATGAAGTGCCAGTATTCAATGGCAGTTCATGTTTATGTCCAGGCATGCCACTGGAACTTCCTTTCCTGCTTAGCTGCCATTTGTCACTGCAACTTATGTGATTTCCCAATAGGATTTGGGCCACTGTTAGTTAAGGGTGTTTGAGTTAAACAATCTCACTTTTAGAGCTGTGGGCTTCTGTTTCAAAACAGACCTAGCAAGTAGTCTAGCTGAAGATATTGCAGTAGGGACAGATTAATTAATTAATTAAATAATTAATTAACTAATTAAATTTATACCCGCCCCTCTAGACCATGTCTACTTGGATTAAGAGGGTAAAAGGATTTTGGATAAACCCATTTGTGTGATTTAATCTATCACACAGGAATAGCATTTCCGTCCTTTTGTAACTACAGAGTGACAGAGTATCAGAAAAGGTCACAAATGAACCAAATACCTGCTCTTAGACTGAAGAATAAAGATAATCATGTAAAGCAGGATTTAAACAAGCAGACATTCAGGAAAAAGATAGTCCAGGAAGTTAAGAATCCACAAAAATAGACTGAGCCACTAATTTTTTTACCAGGCAGCACTATAAATTCCAATAGTACTGTAGTAACTTGTAGCACATTGCTTCTCTGAAGAAAAAGAAAGAAATATCAACCATCTTCGACCATACTGATTTGATTTTAACTTCAATCTCCAACTCACATCTCTCAGGCCTTGAGATAAATGTCTACCACCACCACCCTGCTTCTTATTTCTGACTAAGGTAACCCATTCAAAAGAGAGAAGGCCTCCTGGACATTCAACATTTACAGTATGTAAAAGAGGATGTCTACTTTTTCGGCAAGATTTTTGTGGCGAGGACACCAGGCACTGCAGGGGTGGCAGTGGGGATAGGGGGATAACAAAAAAGCAAACAAGTACATTTTCCCAGCATAGCCTGCCTATTCTGTTATAAAGGCACTACAGCTAACAAGTGGAAGTGATCCAAATACAATGGAAAGCACATTAATTTTGCTGCATTCCAACAACTTCTCAACATTAAGGCAAACCAGAATAGTTCTGCAGCTGTTTGGACTGGCAAGGGACTGGGGCTGAAGCCCTTGTTACATGTGGCTTTCAGGAACTGGATGCATTGCATGACTATATCTAACCTCAGGAATAAATGACATGCAAATGGTTCCAGAAATGCCTCTTGAAATTTCTTTTTTATACTGAAATGGTACTTCAATAGGAAATAGGACATTCTCAGCAAAGTTTAGTGATTGTTCCAAGCTTATTTTTAAAAAAGAAATGATTCCACTTGGAGACTTATCTCAATTGTTCAAAGTATGAAACCAGTAAAGCAGCAGCATGACAGAAATGTCAAACATTTCTGCATTACTGGTAAGACTGACATTAAGGTTTCGAACTCTATAAAGTGCAGATGCACTGTATTTTCAATAGCAAGCATTTGTGCAGTTTTTATTAGAACACTATGCCTACCTTGTCTGTTATATTCATCTGACTCTCTGTGCACCAAATCTTTCACCCGGTTTCCATACAGCAGTCTCGAGGAATCATGATCAAAAGCTTTCAAGGTTTCACTTGAGCTGTAAGATTTCTGTGTAGGCACTCTGCACTCCTCGTTCTCTGCTGAAGAATTTGTATAACGCCTTTCCTTGTCTCTTCTGCCCTTTGTCAGGGAGCAATAAGGTCTGCGTTCTTTCACATCCATGCTTCATTCCTTCTGTATGCACATCAGGCCAGTTTGCTTTAAATTCTGCTCCAAATTCAATGATTCACCTGTAAGAGAATTAAATAGATTACATATAATTTAGGGATATATTTACAAAATACCATATATGGATGAGCAATTGTGTAATTACTGAGGATAACTATCCTAAACAACATAAAGTAGACTTTGAGCTGCAACTGAGAATATTTAAGAGAAATCAAAGTAAATTATTTATCAGTATGACTGGCATATTAGTGGAGAACTGTTTGCCAACAAAAGTGAGAATCCTATTGCTTGGAAGGGGATTTGCAGTAGCGGATGCAGTGAACTGTCAGAAGTTGATAAGGTGCAGGGTGTGTCCCCAGGCAGCTGCTTGACATGCTTCTGGCACTTGTCAATTCATTCTGCTATCTTTTACTATTCTTCAGTGCACATGAAAATTCAACAGGATTCTGGCCACAGAATATTAAAATATATACCCTTAATGGTAGAATTTACCATGTACTGTTAGCATGTTCACATCACTATGGAGTCAGTGTGACATACTCTGTTCATGTTGATGCAATGTCAAGCCATTTTAAAAAAAAAATCAGCTGCAACTGAAGTTGTTCTGTTTTGGTTCCAGTACAATAACCAGTTTGGCATATATCAGTTCAAAGGGGAATTTAAATTTCCCTTTTTTCTAGCAGAAGTTATTTTATTACCTTATCAACTATATATTAAATAATGTTTCCCTGATTAGACCCTATGTACATTTCATTAAAAATGGAATGCTGCTAAATGTTCAAGTGCCTCTAAAACTGTTTACTACCAGCATTTGTGCATATACCTAAATGTAGGTACAGTGGTGCCTCGCTTAACGATGTTAATTGGTTCCCAAAAAAACATCGCTATGGGAAAACATCGCTAAGCGAAACACCATTTCCCATAGGAATGCATTGAAAACCGGTTAATCCATTCCAATGGGAACGGATTACCGTCCTTAAGCGAAAATCGCCATAGGAAACATCACTAAGCGAAACAATGTTTCCCCCCATTGGAATGCATTGAAGCCTATTCAATGCATTCCAATGGTTTATCGATGTCCGTTTTCGCTATTTTTAAAGTGTCTTAAAATGTTCAAAAACTGTTTTAGATGCTTGGGGCAAGTAGTGCACCATGTAAAACCTTTGCAAATTTAATTTGGCGTTGTTCTGACTCTTCGTTAGTTTTTGGTGAATTCCCCCCCCACTGGAATGCACTGAACCGTAGGTTTGACAGCTAAGCGAGGTAAGGTCCCGAACATCACTATGCGAAATTTCCCCATAGGGAACATCGCTAAACGGAGCACAAAATCGCTCCAAAAACGTCATCGCTAAGTGAATACATCGTTAAACGAGGCAATCGCTAAGCGAGGCACCACTGTATATTGTTCTTGATCTTGTTTGGAATTTCTTAGCAATGATCAAGTTCAGTAGTGGGTGTTTTGACAGGAAGGTGGTGTCCTTGTCTTGAATCTTGTAAAAGTTCTCCATTATTCTAAAAGTTAGTAGCAAGGAAGATCATTTAACTCAGAATTATTTTACTAGGTAAAGCAGGAACAACAAAATGCCAATATGTACCAGCATGGCCATGTTCTTATTTATTTGATCATGTACTGCATCTGATTATGGAGGTGGTGGTCTCTGAAGCTCCAGCTGGAAAGACTTCGCCTTCTAATACATGAGATCTGAATAAGATCAAAAATCCTCAGATGGGAAAGCTGGATTTGTATTGCTGACATCTTGATTCTAGGGTAGTAACCAGAATGGATGGGCACTCATCTGTGGGGTCATCATCAGACTCTGAAGCTAGAATGTGAGATACAGTCAACCCTTGAATGACAAGTTTGTAAGTCGAAAAGTTCGTAACTTGAATCAGCATTTCCCATAGGAATGCACTGAAAACCAATTAATCCGTTCCGGCTGTTTTTGGTTCTTAGGTCGAGGGGTGTTTTTTTTAAGTCAAAGCATTAGTTCCCATAGGAACTAATGCAAAGCCGGCTAATCCATTCCTACCAGTAGGGGCAGAATTTTTCTTTTTTCTTTAACCTAAGATGGCGTAAGTTAAAAAAAAGGCAGGAAACCACGGAGGGAATGAACGAACACTGTTTAAAAAGAACACTTTTTAAATCAAGCACCTTTTAAATCAAGGTACCAAAACAGGTACCTTTTCAACCAAGCAACTTTTAAATCTAAACAAGCAGCTTTTAAAGCAACTAAGCACCTTTTTACCCAAGCAGGTTTTAACTCAAACCAAGCTCCCTTTTACCCAAGCACAGTTTAAACCAAACAAAGCATCTTTTAAACTAAATTTTACATTTTAAAATGACAATACCAGGCAGTCCCAACAGTCCTAGGTCTCTCTTCCCACTCTCTAACCCAGGAGTCAGGGAACTTTTTTACTTTTTACCCCCCAAATATTTATATACACTGACATTACCCCCTTGATTTGAAAGGAAGGAAATCATATATTATTTTAATTAAAAATATTATTGAATTTACACAGGCTGTGTACTGAACCAGCAGGATGCACAAAATTTGATAAAACATGTGCACTATTTTTGCTGGAACACACTGCACTCCAGCCATGGGGTGGTATAGGGAGTAGTAAGGTGTCCAACGTGCCTAGCAAGTTGCATTAAATTTTTGCTAGCTCGCAGAGGATTTAATCATCATCAGTGGCTGCCGGAGTGGTGCTAGCAATGACATGCTTGCTAGAGACAGCCAACACAGAATTTGGGGGGGGGGTCTTTCCCTACCACTTTAATCATTCTATGTGTGGTGTGCAAAAAGGAACAAACCAGGCTAAAGGTCATTTCACCCACCCTGGTGACATAGTCCAATATCAAAGGACTAGTGTGCATTTTTATCATCATCAATGGAAAACTCAGCAGTGGCCAGAGGATTGGAAAAGATCAATCTACATCCCAACTCCAAAGAAGGGAAGTGCCAAAGAATACTCCAACTACTGTACAATTGCACTCATTTCACACACTAGCAAAGTTATGCTCAAAATCCTACAAGTTAGGCTTCAACAGTATGTAGACCAAGAACTCCCAGAAGTACAAGCTGGATTTTGAAGGGGCAGAGGATCTAGAGACCAAATAGCTAACATGTGCTGGATTATGGAGAAAGCCAGAGAGTTCCAGAAAAACATCTACGTCTGCTTCATTGACTATGCAAAAGCATGGCAGAAAGTGAGGAGGACTTAAAGAATCTCTTAATAAGGAAGAAAGAGCAGAGCACAAAAAATGATCTGAAGCTCAGTATCAAAACAACTAAGGCATGGCCACTGGTCCCAGCACCTCCTGCAAATAGAAGGGGAAGATATGGAGGCAGTGACAGATTTTACTTTCTTGGGCTCCATGATCACTGCAGAGGGTGGCAGCAGCCACGAAATTCAAAGATTCCTGCTTCTTGGAAGGAAAGCAATGATAAACCTAGACAGCACCTTAAAAAGCCACCCTTCCCCCATCTTAATTCACGCTTTCTCTTTTGCTTGCCTCTTCTTTTTCATGGTTTTGAGTCAGTCTCTCTCACTCCCTCTCCCTCTCTCTCTCTCACACATACACATCCATCCACCCATCCTCCCTCCCTGCCTTTTCTCCATACATTTTCTCCATACATTTAAATAAGCTTGATGAAGCCCTCAGTCTCTCGCACCTTCCTTCCCTCCTTCCCTTGTTAACTAGATCCTTTCCCGCCTCCTGCTTGCTTGCAGTCATTTCCGGAGGAATGAGTCATTCAGAAGCCCCAGATTGATTGATTGCCCACGGCTAATCCACAGCTGTAACCAATCAAACAGGTTTAACTTCGATCTCTGAAAGAACAGAGGATTTAGAAGTGCCCTGCTGCAACCAAGGAAGTAACAGGGATAGGTGGCTTACAATTTGAGGTTTGACTGCAGAGGGAGACGGTGGGAGGGAGGGAAGGAGGGAGGGAGGGGGTAGCACTCTGCTCATTACCTGCAGGATTTTAACTTTTACCCAATTTGAGGTATTTTACCCCTGTTCCCCGACCACTGCTCTAACCGCTTGGACGAGCGAGGAAGCAGACAAGCTTCCTAACTGAAAGTTCAAATTTCCCGCTTTCCCTGCCTTCCCCACGTTTTTTCCATTCGTAACTCGAATCCAAGTTTGCAAGTCGAGTCCAAATTTTCCTATCAGAGTGGTTTGTAAGTCGAAATGTTCGTAACTAGGGCCATTCTTAAGTCGAGGTTTGACTGTTACACTAATTTAATGTTGTTCTATTTCCTCAGTAATAGAAGTTAGTTTGCAGTGTCCTTTTTTGCTCTAAGAAGATGAAGCAGGTCTGCTAAGAGTCTTTCACTTGATTATCTCTGGGGGAATCCTTTGAAGTATCTTCTGAATGGTCAGCTGATGGTTTTGAGGTTGGCCTGGATTCTGAGGATCTTTCGATATCAAGGACATGCTGCATATTTTTGCCTTTTTTTAAGGGTGAGCTCCCCTGAAGGAGAAATGAGTTCATGGGATCTGTGACTTTGGTCTTGACCCACCACTGACAATTCTGAGGAACATGAAATCAAGCATGGGACCTACTGTCTAGTTGCCAATTCCAATGGCTGCAACATCTGCTTGGGCCCTTGTTTCTGTCTTGGTCTACAAATTGGCTCCTTAAGTTTCCTTGGAATTGGTGTGGGAGACCTCTAATCTGATCAGGATGAGCTTCAATTCAAATGAGTCTTCTGTCTCTCAGTTTGTTTTGGTGTTGTGACTTTGAAACTAAATGAGCTATATTGAGCTTGGCATGGGCTCCATGCTAGTGCGGACTCTTTGACAACAGCAATCCAGACACCAATTGGGACAGAGTATATAAGATCACTGTGGGGGCTTTTAAGTGGCAGTGATCTAGAGACAAAATGTCTACACCTGAATTCGGAGGATCTTGATATTGATCCCTGCCCCATACAGATGGGTATTGATCCCATCTCTGCCCCATACAGATGGGTATAATGTGTTGGCATCAGCAAATGCATAGGCATGCCAGGGAGAGGGCCAAAAGGTTTCTCTCTCTGGTACTCCAGAAAT